GACCCCATATATGAAGTTTGGCAGTCTGAAGCAGAAATCCAGCTATGGGGTTGTATAAAATATACTAAGTGCTCCTTGGGATACTTTTATAAAAATTCTTTATTTTCAAACACTTTAAAAATCACATTAGAACAACATTCTCTATGCAATTAGAAAAACAAACAGTATAGACTGTGCCACCTAGCAGAGCCGCATCTCCCTGAGGAGGCCACCCAAGGAACACTGCGCTCAAAGGCATAGCTCTATACAAAAGGGGGCAGAGCTCAGAGAAGGACGGGAGCTGGAGAAGGGAATGGTAATCCCTTCAAAGGAATGGGACATTTAAGGAACCCAAAACCCTACAAATGGCAACAGCAAACTGATTTTGAAAGAAATTTGGATATGAGATCATTCTATTTTATGTTATCAACTTACTCATTTTCATTAGCTACAGGTCGTATACTTACATGGAAGGTAAATATTTTAACTGAAATTTAAGAAAGATAAAGTTGAGACACTTTAAAAGACCTGAATTTTAAGAAAAATACTTGGATGCTTTTGCAGACTATCAGAGAACAGCTACTCAGATTCTAAATATAATTTGGTGTAAGTTAATTGGCAGAGTTTTCAAAAGGTATCACCTGAGCAGCTGTTTACACTGTTTTCCGTTCAAACTGAAAACAAATTCCTCTTTTGAATTTTTAAAAAAAATTATTATTATTACTGTGTGTGTGTGTGTGTTTACATGATGTATATGTATGGGTGTGCACGCCATGGCACATGCATGGAGATCAGTCAGAAGATAACTTTGTAGAGTCATTTCTCTCCTTCCAAACCTTTATATGGGTTCCAGGTATTAAACTCAGGTCAAACAAAGGTTTGTATGGCAAGCATTTTTACCTGCTGAGCCATCTCACTGGCCCAGACCAAATGGTTGAAAAAATTACAGTTAAGGTACATTCAAAGCCTGAAGTCATCTTGTATCACAAAACTGAACTGAGAATGCCAGGCTACTTGTAGTAGGACCCTCACTCAAGACACTGACAAAAGTGGGCATTCACAAGGAATAATGTAAGATACATACATTAAAGAAAGTGAGAAATGCCCCACCATGGAGGAGACCATGGTTAGAAAGAACATATGACAAAGTGTCACATCTTATTATTATAATTACCACTGTTAATGGTAGCAGCAACCGTTTACCACTGGGCTATGGAAGATCTCATGCCAATTACTATATACAGATCAGATAATTAGACTATTTAAGTATCAAATAAATATTTATCTCTTGCAAAAATCCTAAGCTAATAACATTGAATAGAGCAAATTACTTCATTTCTCTGAGTTGAAGCTCCTTCAAGTAATTTGCTCAAGATTACACAGCTTGTAAATGAGAGAGCCGAGATGTGAATGCAAGCACTATTCAATATATTTTTACTGCCCCACCCCTACATTCCAGATATTACTAGTAACTAATACCCTGTAAGCAATAGCTGACCTGGCAGGTGAGTTTGACGTTAGTCAGATAATCCCTAAGCAAATGCTAAACTGTTAACTGTGACAAAAGCAACAAGCCCAGCATGGGTGGAGAAGAGAAAGAGAAGCTCTAGAATCATCTGAAATTTGAAGGATGAGTTGGAGCTGCTTTGGGGCAGAGGGAGGGCAAAGCATTCCAGGCAGCAAACCCAGAATATGCAGAGATGCTGCAGTGGGAAGGAGTGTGTGGCAAGGATAAGGACCGAAAGAGCAAAGTCAGACGAGAAAGGCTGACAGGAAGCTGGCCAGGACACACCACCAGTTACAGTCCATGCTGCATGCTGCCTACAGGGTATGTGGGCTGTGGTGAGAATTTTTAGTTTGTCCTCAACACACTGGGATTTCTTTATTGCTGATGATGACTGCTTTCCTTGGTGACAAGGGGTGTACCAGGGAACCAGTGCCATGTTGCCTCCTACAGGAATGGTTCAGAGGCAGAAATAAAGATGGACAGTCCAAAGCATGTTCTAGAACAGACGCTGACCACATACCAAAACACTGCCAACATGGAGATTGAAACTGCAAATGGAAGTGTGGGTTGTAGGGTAGGCAGTGGAGGTAAGACAAGGCATGATTACGGTTACTGAGGAGGGTGTGCTGTACAGGAGCACCAGCAAACCAATGGAAATACACAGCAAGCAGCCCTGTGGACAACAGTGTGGAGCCCATTCCTGGGTGAAAGGAAGGTCTACCTCACACCAAGGCTCCACCACAACCAGCTGTGACCATTTCCCCACTTATACCTCAATGGCTTATTTTGAAAATAAAGTGAGTTATAATACATGTAAAGTATTTAGGGTACTGCCAGCACATCTAAATAACTCAAGAAGAACCTGTACTATGCTTAGTATTATTACTATTATGGTGCAAGATCAGGATTTGCAATAAAAAGTTTAAATAGGGAAGAAAACCATTTGCAAATATATATCCATCACAACATGTTCTCAAATGCCACTGTGTATAAGAACCATTCAGAAAGGTTGTGGAAAGCCAGAAGTAAGGCCTAGCAAAACAGTTTGCCCAAGTCCCTGGGGGATTCTGGCAGGGTTTTTCCAAGCACAATGCTGTAAGCAGGGTCCCAAGGCCTAAAATTAAAAAATAAATATTCAGGTATCAATAAAACACTGCAAGGGTACTAGAGGAATAATTTTATAAAATCAGTTTCAGACTTTATTTTTCTTAAGGCACAATGAGATTAGACCAATGGCAAAATGTACTTCTAGAGGAAAACTGAATCATCAAAACTTACTCGATGGGCAAAATACATACATAGCGCTCAGTTTTTAATAACTATTTCAATATTTAGTTCCAAACAACCCCACATGTCACTGTGAGCTGCATTACCAAGAGAAACCAAGATACACATCTAGATAGTGGTATACAGAGAGATATAGAGATATATCGTAATTATAAGAGCTCGTTTTATTTTTATCAAAAGTGAGGGTCAACTTTTAATCATAGAGAGAAATCACAACTAAGACTTTCACTTTAATTCAGGTTTTTCCACTTTTGTTTCCAGGTCCTTGACATCGGCACCACTGTGCTTGTGAGCAGACAGTTCTGTCATCTGGGAGTGCTGTGTGCACTGAAGGATGCCCAGCAGTATCCCTAACCTTTACTGACCAGCAGTACCCTCCTACCTATGGTGTGACGATCAAAGATGTCTTCAGACACCATCAATTTCTCAAGCCCTGACTGGAGATACTACTTTCCTTAAAAAGACTATGGGAACCTAGGGGCTGGAGAGATGGCTCAGTGGTTAAGAACACTGGCTGTTCTTGCAGAAGACCCGGGTTCGAATCCCAGCACCCACATGGCAGCTAACTGTCTGTAACTCCAGTTCCAGGGGATCCAACAGCCTCTTCTGTCCTCCGCGGGCACTGCAGGACATGGGTGCACTTACCTACATGCAGGCAATACACGCATACACATAAAATAGAAATAATAAATTTAAAAACAAAAAAAAACGACTATGGGAACATTTGAAGCATAGGATTGGAACCTCTTCCTTTTCAAAAGCCACCCTCCAACATCCCCATGGTCAAGTAATCCTCTCCTCAACCTAAACATTTTCTGAATATCTCCTCATCAGCATTTCTGTTCACCAGAATGTACATGTATATACATTTCATGACCAGGTCCAGTTGCTTTCAACAAAGTTTTTGGAGAGAGGACAATGCTGCTGCTAAAAGGTAATAGTAATGGTGACACTGAACATAGCAAAGTCTTACAGGGCCCCTGACATTCCTCAAGGCATCTTTGCATACATTAGTCCCAACCCCAGGTATTCAACAATAGTTCCCAGAAATCTTAAATCTACAGTCAACCGTTTATCACATAAAAGCATTTTATTGCATCTAACAACCCCCTGCAAATCACTAGGCATTACTTAATGCAAGTGAAAACATCAAGACTTCTGGTAAAGCACTCATATACCCTCAGAGGAGGGGCAGGAAATGTTTCTGCCTAAGCAAAAACTGGAGACGCCTGAGGCTCTCGAATCATTACACAACTTGGCCCAACCAGGATCTTTCTCTTTCCTTTTCTTTTTACTGGAAGTGGATGTGAGCCTGTGAACAATGAACCAACCCTTTGACTATCAGTGAATGGGATATAACTGGAAAAATAAGAAGGTTTGCTGTTCTTGATGATTTCCTGATAGATGATAGATAGATAGATAGATAGATAGATAGATAGATAGATAGATAGATAGATAGATAGATAGATGGGTTGTTTTTTTTCCCCCCTTCCTCAAACATTTTTATGTGGGCAATTAAAAGTCCTAAGCTAGGATCTAGTAATCTAGTTCTGTCATTGATCCAGCAAACCTAAGAAAACTTGTCTGGGGTTACTTTTGTCATTCAGACCAGAAAACAAAATTCTACTGGTATAAGGTTACCAAATCATTCCAATATCTCTTCTGCATGTCAGCTTTACTAAGTCATTTTCGAGAAGTAGAAAAAAGGAATCTACAGGCTCTGGGGACGAGCCTTCTTCAAAGAAAACCAAGCACATGGCTGAAATCAGGAAGGTAAGTCAGTGCCCTGTACACGCATCTGGTGAGCAATACCCTTGGAAGTTATACAGAAAAAGTACTGTTGGCCTTTTTACCCAAACATCATCATATAACCCAACACTTGGGGGTCTTTATTGGCCCAAAAAGATAATGAAAATGTTGGCTGGACTTTTAATAAACAATGCACATTCCTGTTTTATGTGAAAAGCTATCAGCAGCTGCTACTTACACAAGCTTTTTAGCAGACATTATTTCACACACTCAAGTATTCTGCCTTTTGTTAAAGCATTAACTATTAACACTCAAGTATTCTGGTTTATTTTAAGACACTGACTATTAAATTCTCATTTCTTTCACTGATTTAAAAAACTGGAAAAAAATTCCTATGATTCAAGGAGACAGCTGCACACATCTGTCACCATGCATTTCTGGAATAAAACGGAAACACGAGTTTTCAAACCATACTTACATGTGAGGGCTCAGTTCATAAAAATTTCTATTCCTGTAATCTTCCACTTTCTCAGGTGAATAAATGGGCAAGGACCGGTAGGGGTTAACCGATATAACCACACTTCCAATGTATGTCTGTAAATAAAATAAAATAAAATAAAATATACTAATGCTACATAGGATGCATTTGAGTATCTTAAAGTTAAATATCTCATGGTTTCAAGGTTTTAAAACTCACACTTATTCTCTGCTTCACCACTGATTTTACGTATTTCAAGAACACAGTCCCTCTCCGAAGATGGGTGGTCAACGGTGCTTGTTCATTTGGCTCATAAATGAAAACCACTGATTTGTATGTTGAAAAATTTTCATAATAAACCTCTAATTACTTTATGATTCTGGACAAGAACTCTCCAAAGCCCTTGTACTTCGTAACTACTGCTGACACACACAGGAGTCACACAAGCCCAGATGCTGGTTACAGCTAGTGCTTCTTTCTCTCTCCACTTTCTGCTTCAAAGACAGGACCTATAACCTAATCACCCAAACCATACTCAGACCTAGAGCAAAGGCCCTCGCTCTGGCACTGCCCTTCAACAGCCTGGCATTCTCTACAAGCAGTTCAGATCACACACAATTCAGTATTGGACTCACACTTTTCCCTTAGAAATATACAAACGACATGATTTCACATTGGTATCTAATGCACAGTGGTAGCAGAATTTAAATGTGCTTTCTGATGGGAAGTACATTTAATGTTGAATTTACATTTAATGTTAAATTTCAATGTAACTTCTGAGGGATTTGGCGCTGTACTGTCACAGATGCTAGCTGACGCTTATCACTGCAACTTGGAGCTCTATCTCTTTCTACTTCAACCTTCAATTCCTGTCAGCTCCAGTATGCCTGGCTTAGTTAATTTCACACAATGCCACAAGTAATAGTTGCTTAATGGCAAACTCATGTAGGCAGTTTTGTTTTCCTTTGTCTCAACATCATGATAGAAGGAAGAAAAAGACATGCCAATAAACTGCGTATGTGATAAAATTTTGAAAAGCAGGCAGGCAAGATGGCTCAGAGGGTAAAGGTAAGATGCCACCAAGAACTGAATTTGAGACCTGGGGCCCACCTGGTAGAAGGAAAGAACTGATTCAACAAGCTGTCTTCTGACCACTACACACACCCTACTGCGTATTATGAGTACACACACACACACACACACACACACACACACACACACACACACACAATGTAATCTAAAAAAATTTATTTTTAAAGAAAAACATTGCGAAGGAAACAACGTGGGGTGGGGCCCAACTGCAGGGAGTCCCATCTTTCCAATATCATCCAACACAAGTTACAATTTTTAGGACAGCTTTCCAGCATTCCCACCGTTGAGTTTCAAGGAGATAAAAATTGAACAAAATAGAGAATAATGAAAAAGAAATGATTTGAAATTTTTATGAGTCACAATGACTTTAACTCTAAAAATTTTTCACCAACATAGAAAACAAATGAAGTCATTTTTGCATGTTTTCAACTTATAAGGGCATAGTCTCATCAAAAGTGGACAAGACCAGTTTTAAAAACACATTTCTATACACATTCTATTATTAGGACCCAATTAAATCTGACAAAGGATAGATAACTACCAGTCCCCTAACTGGTCCTGGTAAGACAAGACTTTCTCAAAATCGTTTGCAATAGTCCTTACCTACAACTCACTTGGGCATGTCGATGGGATGCTGATGATGGAATAACTGTCTGAAGTACTTCAGCTAATAATTACAGTCAATTACAACAAAAGACATGAAAACATAGTTAGCCACTGCTTATACCTTCAATATTTAGTGATTAAAAAATGAGAGATGGCTCAGCGGTTAAGAACACTGGTTGTTCTTGCAGAAGATCCCGGTTTGAATCCCAGCACCCACATGGCAGCTAACAACTGTCCGTAACTCCATTCCAGGGGATCCGACAGCCTCTTCTGTACTCTGTGGGCATTGCATGACATGGGTGTACTTACCTACATGCAGGCATACACTGGGTTGTGGTGGCACACACCCTTAATCCCAGCACTTGGGAGGCAGAGGCAGGCGGCTCTCTGTGAGTTCAAGGCCAGCCTGGTCTACATAGTGAGTTCCAGGAC